GATAAGGATGTTATGAGGACTGCTGGGGAAGGAAGTAACTTTTTGCATCTTTTATCCTATTCATCACTTGGGGCTTCAGGTACAGAGACAGCAGGCATATTCTCCTTCTCCCACCATGAGGAAAGACAACTAAGAGATGCAAGCTTTCTGTCAGAATTTCCTTAATAACCCTTTTTTGTCCTTTTGGAATGTAAGCGTCTGTCTCGAGATACTTTTAATGGGCTTGGCTCTATTCATACAAATATGCTCTACTAAATATGGACACTGATGAATGAATTCCTTCGAGAGGTACCTCAGTATTTTCCCTACAAGGGAAAGGCATGTGTAGATGCTGGAAATCACCAACCAATCAACACCACTCTTTTTTACCCAATAACAAAGCACAAAGAGCTGCCAGCCAATCAGGGCTTAGTTGCCAGCTACTTATTAATAGCACTCTTCCACTCAGGACTGATTTATTCATTAGGCATAACAGATACAGTGCCTAGGGCCCACAAAAATGTTTTAATGTTTTTTTTTAATCAGAAAGAATGAAAATGAAGTAGAAGTTATTTATTTTATGTCTTTTAATAAATGTTTGTTGATTTTCACTCCTTTTAATAAAAAAAACACACATAAGAAATGCACAAAATTTGAACATCTAACCAATAATCTTATTTGCAACCTATAGGTGTAGCGTGGCTACTGAAATTTAGTAGCTTTGATGATGATTAATTATGATGACAGACATAATTAATTGGCAACAATGGATTATTATTACTAAATAATACATATAATATATGATTTACTATTTCCTGTCTCTCTGTAAAAATACAAAGAAAATATTGAACATTATATGAGGTATAATTTTTAATACTATTATTTTTATAGAGGGAGGGGCCCATGAAGGCAAAATTAGCTAGGGCCCACCATAGTCATAATGCAACCCTGTTCCAGCCACCCCAGATTTGCACCAGAAATATTCTTTGCCTTGCTTTGAAGAAATAAAAGGAAAATGCATAAGCCGGCACCATTCCCTGTGGCTGCACCCGTCCCCTTCAAAACTATTGATGCTGCCATGCCAAGATGGCAAAAGCTTGTTTGCTGGAGCTCCTCTAATGAAAGCCCAGATGCGTCATTTAGTGCAACAAAGGGAAGCCAAGCCACTGAAGGCTATTCTCTGAGCGACAGAAACATGGGAATCATCAGATCTGCATTACTCAGTGAAAATCCCCTTCGTCTCTCAACCTGTGGCTGCCCAACATTTGACATCTCTTTCTAAGGAAGGGAAGATGGTTACTGACGATCCAACAGTTGTGGAACCGGGCAAGAATGTAAAATAAATGTAACAAAACGCCCTCTCCTGAGCGACTAAGCAAGCATCGTATACCGTATATGTAGATAGAAGTGACACAGAAGCCATTTCCATGCTCATGATTTATAGCATCTTACCTTGTCATCTAGCTATTGTTGTGGCAATATATAGCTTGTCTTCATTGCTGATCTATTGACACAGAGATGGCTGAGCAGTGCTATAAGATACTGCCTCACTAGTGTGGAAAGAGCAGTTTCCAAATGAAAAATTACTTTGGGGAGGAAGAGTGATCAGGACTGGAGAATACTACAGGGTAAAGGAGTATTTAACTTCAGACCAGCAGCCATTTAACTACCCCAATTCACTTAAGAAGAGTGATATTGTAATTTAATTTGGTAGAATTTATTGTAGTTCATAATTTCATTCTGTGATTGATACTGTGCTGACCATGGTTCCTGTTATTTATGTTCTGAATAAAGCTTTATAGTGATTTTCAGGCTTTTAAAGTGATATAATCAGTTATTCACAGTCAAGTAATGACTACTGAAAAATTATAACTTCTATGACATTTGTAAAATCATTGCTTATTCATTTCTATTTTGCTCTTTTATCTCCTTTGTGTTCTTTTTCTTTACCCATTATATATTATAAAAATATATAATTTTTCTTTGAAATGTCTAAAAAATATTTAAAAGATTAAAATTTGGTGTGTTTAATCCTTTAGTTGCTGCTGTTGCAACATTGAATTCAAAAGGAGCGCTTGTTAGAGGATATATGCTCCTGAACATAAACAGAATGCCAAAAGAATACTGAATAATTTGCAGAATGTCCTATTACAAAGAAAATACATTCATAGCAATTATTCATAATTGTCTAGGATACAGTGTATTGACTTAGTCCAGCTACCAATGAATGTTAGCAGACATTCATTTTATCTGAAGTAAAAGCTAGACTAAGTAATACATGAAGATTTCTACCACTAAAGAAGATCATTACTGAAGATCACTACTAACTAAACTACATCTTGAAGAGAGGAGAGCATATGACACACAGAGAGAGAAACAGAAACAGACCTATGGACGGATCAACCAACCCATGACAGAGAGACGAGAGAAGGAAGTTCCCTTTGTTTTTTAAACACAGAGTCTCATTTAATAACAAGAGGGCCAGGAACAGTATTTGATGTGGCAGATCTGATTAGCAAAGATTTATCATTGTGTTTCGTTGCAGTGTCACAGTAGCTGTGAAGGTTCTGCAGACTCTTCCCATCCTGGATATAAACTGTTCCAACTTCTTCCTTCAGGACGGCGCTACAGAGCACCATATGTTAAAACATCTAGACATCGGAATAGTTTTTTCCCTTGTGCCATTGCTCTGTTAAATACTACATGACTTGATATGTGCTGGACAGTGGCTTCTCCCTTTGAAAAAGTTATTTTACTGTGTAGTGTTATTGTTACTGTTTGTTATTTTCTGTTAAATACTACATGACTTGATATGTGCTGGACAGTGGCTTCTCCCTTTGAAAAAGTTATTTTACTGTGTAGTGTTATTGTTACTGTTTGTTATTTTCTGTTAAATACTACATGACTTGATATGTGCTGGACAGTGGCTTCTCCCTTTGAAAAAGTTATTTTACTGTGTAGTGTTATTGTTACTGTTTGTTATTTTTCTGTTACTATCCAAACACACCGTTGATCTTGCTGTTCGTCACCGAAGACAAATTCCTTGTATATGTTTTATACTTGGTCATTAAAGTATTTTGTATTGTATTGTACTGTATTGTAAAGAAGGTATCAGGCTCCCGATATATGCCTTTGTCCTTCCAAATCTGCAATTGTCCATGAATTCAAGCTAATGAAAAAAAGTTTAAATAGAATGTGCCATAAATGGCTCTCTTGCTCTCTGCAGCACACTTAACAAAGAGGAAAGAGTTTAGAATGCTTTGTGCTGCACAAGAAGATTCCCACCTAGTTAGAGAGATTCCAAGATGACAGTCCCACTTAAATGAGAGGCAAAGAAGTAATTTTTATTGTTGTTATCTTTCTCATTCATCTGCAAGGGAGGAACCTATATCTTATGATGGGGGATGCTCCAGGCCAGTTGTATCTGCTATGGAGCCTTAGGATAAGTCCCAGTATCTTATACATTGGAGTAGGATTAGGAAATGAATCATACTATGTGTATGTGCCCCAAAAATGTCTTGCTTCTTGCTTACAATCACTATTTACAAGACATAATTACTCACTGAACACATGTAGATTCTGTGATGGTCATCCATTGTTTATGCCAGAGATGTTAATAATAGATGTTAATAATCATCCCAGAATAAGACATTTACGCCTCCCAGTGATGGGATTTAGTCATTTTCTCTGATGCTTGAAGGCCATCAGATCTGACACAAAAAAATTAAAGATGACATTCCTTGGCTGAATTGCTACCATCAAATGATCTGTGCATGTAAATGCTTCTGATTTAAAAAAAAAAAAAAGACAACATGAGCATTCTATCTTATAGAGTAAAAACAGAAATAAGGAATAAGAAACAATACGAACAGTAATATGGTGTCACTACAAAGAAAGTTTGTAACAATCAGAATCAACCTGGTACCTTCAAAATAGGGTGGACTATAACTCTCAGATATGTAGTCAAACCCACTGGAGAGACATGAGGTTTGGAGAGGTTGATTAGACTGTCATGAATATTGGACCAAAGTCAGCATGATTATAAATAGCATACTCATTTAGTAAAAATATGTTTGAGAAAGATTGCATGAAATGAAAAATTGAGTAGAACTATCTGCATGTTATTTCTTAGCAAAACAGGACTACTGATAAAATTACTAGAGAAAAGAGATCAAAGAGCAGTTGTCTTCTCAATAAACAGCTACTCCATCTTGTTGGGGTTGATATTCAACACACTTCTTCTTATCCAAACCCTTAAACACTCCAGAGACTGGGTCAAGACTTCCCCAGGTCAACCATTCAATCTTGGATAGAGATGTATAAATGGGTAACAACAGCATACTATTGATACCTCTCCCAATGGCTTCATGTAGATGGTACATAAGAAGGGAGAGAGTGTTAAGCCCTTGAGCATCCCTGTGTGTGTGCACATGCACGTGCATGTGTGCACACATGCATTCTAGTCAGTCTGGATTCCTAGTGACTGCCTGGACTAGTCCTTACAGTTTTCTTTAAAAGTTTTTCAGAAGTAGTTTGCCATTGCCTTCTTCCTAGGGCTGAGAGAGAGTGACTGGCCCAACATCACCCAGCTGGCTTTGTGCCTAAGCCAGGGCACAACAGTCTCCTGGTTTCTAACCTGGAGCTTTAACCACTACACAAAACTGGCTCTCAACTGAGTATTGGAATTCCTGAAGACTCAACCTCTTCTCCCCCATACATACACACTAGAAATGCTCACTCCAAAATGGTGCCTCCAATCCTGCAGGCAAACCAGAAGGATACTTTAAAGCAACTGATAGCAAAAGGAGCAAGTAGAAGAAATAACAGACTCCTTTTATCCTTCTTGGTAGCCCTATGTAGCTCAGGAGAACTAAGTGTGAAAAAGAGCTGTAGGGAGAACAATGAGGTGGACCTCACCCAAATCCCAAATAACTGGTAAAATATTTTAAATAAAAATATATTTTAGCTATCAGAATCTTAGTCTTTGAGATTGATTAATTTCTTCTTCTTACCATCTGCAGGATAGAATGGCATTTTTAATCCTACTGCTCATGCTGGCACTGACGTCACCTTCTACACTGGCGGTAAGTATTGAGGTCCAGCTTTCAGAACTAGAGCCAAATAAAGGAGTAGAATTATGAGCCAGATTGTTTGCAAAATATGTGGAGTACTAAAATATAGCTACGTTCAGCATGCTGATGTTGTTTGTACATTGTTCCTTGATCATTCACAGACAATGAAAACATTGTTTATTACTCATGGTGATGGTACAAAATACTTTGTACAGTACATAATCCTTCTAGGCTGGATTATGGTAAAATATGGGGTCTGAGATTCTTCTGCAAAAGCCTGGCCTCCAACATCAGGTTGATTATGTGGGACAAAGCCAGGAGCACTGGCTACCCCCCCTTGTCTGCATAGATCAGTGTTTCTCAACCTTGGCAACTTTAAGATGTGCGGACTTCAACTCCCAGAACTCCCCAGCCAGCCATGCTGGGAGTTGAAGTCCACACATTTTAAAGTTGCCAAGGTTGAGAAACACTAGTGCAGATGAAGGCAGTTTGTGTAAGAAAAAGTAGGGAGTACTTGTCTCCCACTTTGCCCTACATGGATTGGCTTCAACTAGCATGCATTTCATGTGGTGTTTCTGCTAAGGCAGGGAGTACCCCCTTAGGCTGCCTGGCATCTTTCACCATTAGGGAAAGCATGTGCCAACCAATGCAGAATCATGCAAAATAGAATCACACATGCCAAGAGAAGCATTGGTCATAGTGACTTTGGCCATTTGGAGAACGCAGCTCTAACTGCAGGAGAGGAACCAGAGAGTCGCAAAGTGATGAAATTCTGGAAAATGAATTTCACTGCAGACTCCATGGGCTGGGCTCGGAGGTCCAAATTATCCCCTTCTTGCCTCCCAAGATGAGGCAGCACACATCTGAATATGAGTTGCCTGGAACAATGGTATGAAAACTCATCTCTTCCTTGCATCCTTTCCAAAGGCATATTTTTTGACCAGTGTGGGAAACAAGCTGCCCCCTAAATGGATCTTTGGTATGGTCTAGCACAGTGTTGTCCAAACTTGGCCACTTTAAGATGAGTGGACTTCAACCCCCAGAATTCTGGGAGGACAACCTGGCCTAGCAGGACTGTTCTGCTTTAAGTATTAACTGTTTTAAAAACATAATAGTTGTGTGTGTCAGGGGAGGGAGGGTTTCAGGCCGGGGAAAGGGGATTAGTACCATAAAGTTTGCCAGTTAATGTGGCCCCACACTGACTTTAAAGAAAACCTCTGGCCCCAGTTTTGTTCACAGTAAGTTCCCCTATTTGATTTCCCATTTTGCTTTATGTTTAGGATTAGATTTTGATTGAGTACACTGTAAAAACTGATGGTAACTGTTGCCTTTATAAACTACTATCCATTGTCAAATGTGTATGACTATTAAATGATGCTGACTGGTGGCTATATTATGAGATTGGAGGAAGAGGAATATAGAAATGTGCAAAGTTTTCTTCCAATGACACATGCCCTGAAGTGTATTTGCTATTTGCCTACGCTGCTTGAGTTGATGTATTCATGGTGGCACTTTTAGTTTTCAAGTTAGGAGCAGGTTGACTCAAAAGTGATAAAGCATGGAAATTGTAATGTAAAACAGAAATAAAAATAGGTGTGCCTTATGCTGCAGCATGTTTAGACATGCTTGCATCTTCATGGATATTATATGTATTTAGCTGATGTTTGTATCTACCCATCCTTCAACAGGTCCGTAGAGGTCTCCTCATTGTGCTTCCAGGCAGTTTTTTAAATCAGCAGATGCTAGACTGAGTTGGTTTTGGCAGTGGCACTATTTCTTGTATACATTTTAAAATTATCAGCAAGAAGTAGAGTGCTTGTATGTTTTATTCAGTTTTATAATGGACCTATATTTCATAATGTACTGTTCTTTTCAGTTTTTTAAGAAGCAATAGACATGATCTTGCCCAACTTTGACATGCTAGTTTAAATTTCCCATTTAAATGCTGAAGTACTTAGCTTGGCCTAGAATGGGACCAGTGGGACCAGTGGGACCAATTATTAAATGCTGGTCCTCTCCAACAAGGTACCCTCTATATGGGTTTAATCCCTGTCCATTCCAAGGATTATTTGGTGTTATAGTCCAACGCTTCTAGAGGATGTCAAGTTGGGGAAGATGTTTCTGAGCATTCCTTGGATTTTATAATAGCAATATAAGTTTGGAGTTTTAGACACAGGGGGCTATGAACCAGAAATCTGGTGGAGCCTATCTCAGTGTTTTCCCCACTATTGGGTTAAAATGCCATTCTCCCATCGGCATAAGGTGATATTGCCATGAAATTTGCTGCCCACATTGCTGATTCTTTTCATGTCTCTATTTTAAGTCACTGCTGAATGATGCTATCCTAATTATTATAGCTGTGCAGAGCTTCTGATAAGGCAAACAGGTGCTTTGGAACATGAATATGACACCTGTCTACAGTTCCTTAAAGCAGCTGTGCCTTTTCCTGTGCTTATGCAGCTGCCTGCCCAGTCCTGTGTGTGCAGTGCATGATAGGCAAAGTGATTGGCTGAGTCCTCCAGCTTTTCTGCCTTCCGTCTTCAGCATATGACCAGCTAATACAAAGAGAAATCTGTTAATTAGAGCACCACATCGAGAACGTGGGGCCTGGAGTCCAACACCAGGACTCCGTCAGCATCTGAAGGCGGCTTTGTATGTTCTACTCTATACCATGTTCTGTTCTAAAATATGTTTTTAAAAACCAAGTAGGAATCACAAAGGGAACTGAGAGCCACTTGCAGTTCTGAAGAACAGTTCTTGGCCCCATCACCTCTTTTTGGCACAAAACCTACAAGGGCAATACAGAAGGGATTCACAATACTAGCTGGACACTGTAGTAGTATAGCACAAATCTACTCAATCGCCAACTCAGAAGCTTGTCCCAAGCACACTGTATGCCAGAAAGTAATGTGAAGCCCCCTTTCACTTTCAATTATTCCAAAGTATCAGGAAGCTGATCTGCAATTGTCTTAACTTCTGCTAACCTCAAAACACAGAGAACATGGCGAGATCAGCATGTACTGATCAATACTTCATCCAGTGTTGTGTGCAAAAAACACCCAATTTGCTGGGGGGAAAAGAAAAAAAAGAATCCAATCTGTGTATTGTCGAAGGCTTTCACGGCCAGCATACGATGGCTGGTGTGGGTCTTCTGGGCTGTGTGGCCGTGTTCTGGAAGTTTTGTTTCCTAACGAATCACCCTGGGCACAGAGAGAACTGCTCCTGTCTGT